CTCTAACGAGAAACCTAAAAAAAGCTTCTTAAGATGTAAGCCTAAAAAAGCCTCCTAAGATGCTGCTTCTCTGCAGCTGGAGAAGGCACTGATTTCACCACTTGGCTGTGGCAGGACTCTTCTTACAGTAGCACGGAGATGATATACAGAAGGATCAAATCTATAGAAGAAACCTCAAAACAGTAATAGAACACACTCCCCTCCTACTCTGGGGCTTCAAAATTGTGCAATAAATAAATTTAGCATCACTGTATCGCAAAAGCCACAGAATACCTACATATTGAACAAATTGGCAGTATTTTCTACACATCTTAAGAAGCACTCCAAGAGTGCCCAGATTTGTTGTCGTGTGGACATCAGAAATAAGTGAGCGTTTGGGAAATGAAACCAGATTAACACAGACAGTACTGGCGCCATCCTATTTTGACATCTTCAGAGAAGAGGTGGCAGTGCCCCTGGTGAGCCAGCCACAGTCACACAGCGCCCCACTCCCCTGCACCAGTAGTTTCTCCTTAAAGGTTAAAAGAAGAGCGGGTTTCCATTTTGCTCTCTCAAACATGCGTATTTTTATGATATTTAGAGTTCTAATTATTATATTCACTGCTCCCCTATCAACATTAATTACTACATAGCAGCTTTTTTTTACCTGCACATCTATTTGGCTTTATTTTATGGATCATCTGAATATTTTTCCCATTTTATTTATAGGTGGTTTCTGCTCGCCCACCTTTACTGTCCGAATGCAGAAGAAAACAAGGGTAAGCCAAGCGTTACCTTTCTAGGTAGAGGTCTACACACAGATCTCTGATACAGAACGGGCAGACACACCAAACAGTGCATATGTTGTCCTGGGAAAAGGAATGAATGATCCCTTTACCACCACAAACGTTGAAGTATGAGATTCCTGGGAGGTTGTGTTTATTTTTGGGGGTGGGCTGGTGGGAGGGGAGAGACTTGTTTGGGTTTCTCCCCCTTATTAGCGCTTGTGCTTGGTCCACCCGCTTCTTTCCTTCTCCAGAATCACTTTCTGCAGATGCAGATTGACAGATCATCGATGCTGTTTGCAGAACGAAGCCAAAACTGCAGTCTGCAAGTTTAAGAAATGGAATAATGGAAAAGAAAAGTAATGGAAAACGGAGCAGCAATGCTGGCAAGGGGCAGAAAAATGAGCAGGGACTCATAAAAGCTCAGTTTGCTCTCAGGTCTGCTGCTGGCTTACTGGTTGACCTTGAGCAAAGCTCTTTATCTTCCCCTGCCCTAGATTCGCTATCTGAAAAATGGGGTAATGACATCGGCCTCTGGAAAACATTGTGAGCTTCTCCTAATGCTCTCCTATATAAACTATTTCAAATTTAAGACCATCGGATAATTTTATGCAGTTACTAGATTTAGTATGCATTATTTTATCCATCAGTTGTTGTCAGGAAAAATATGTGCAAATCCAATTGCTATCAGAAACATGAAGTGTTTTGTTTTTTTAATTTGATGAGCTCCATCTCATCAATATTTCGAGTAACAAGCCTGTAAAACTGGATATAGGAACTATTCGCTGCTTTCCGTCTCTCCCACCTCACCAAAAAGGCAGCTTTACAAGAAGAGCAGGGAAATGGAAAGACTGAGAAACCCTGTGAGAAGTTGATGGGGAAAGCTGATGGACAGGAGAACAAGGTTTGGTCAGCACAGAAAATTTTACCGGGGTGCCTATTGCGTAGCTCAGCCGTGGCATTCAGCTCAGCCCCAGAACTGGTGCCATTAACTCCCCGCTGCTGGCACCGACAGGACCAGGTACTGTCGTGGTGCCAGCCTGCAGGGCCAGCGTGCAATAAAAGCAGAGGCTAATGGATCTGCTCACACGTTACACACACGTATGTGGGTTTTTTCAGTGCGTGCACACACACGTGCACACATTTTTGTCTCCAGAAACTCCTGGCAGAGCGCTAGCAACTAATTGCGCAACCCAGCTGGCTTCCAGCCTCGTGCTTCGCCTTATCAGTGCGCCGGGGTATCTGATATTAACCCAGAATTTCAAGAGCTGCTCTGCCTGGCTGCCCAGTTCATCTCCAGTCACTAAAACATGGCAACCAAGATCTTCTCAATTCACTAAACTATAAAATACAGTAACTAGTCACCTGTGTCTTACAAATTTAAGGCATCATATGTCCCCTGTTACCTACAGATATGAGGTCAACATCACCAGTTTAAGAGCGATGCATTATTTTATAGCCCTTCTATATAGGGGAGTTGAGGCTTATTTTTTAGTTATATTCTTCTCTTTGAAGCAGGCGAATCAATCCGGGAATCACAATGACCTGTATCCAGAAAGCAAAATAAAGTCTTTCTTTTTTTCTACGTCCTGAACAGAGCCTCCAAAATAATACTAGATATTCACTTGGGCCCAGTTACAAACGCTGTGAGACTGCCAAGTGCAGCCAGGGATCCTAGAGGCCCCAGCAGTTTATGGGAGTGAGGAATGACTTTATTTACAACAAAAGTTAAGTTCCACAGTACCCCAGTTTCTATTTCTAATGTTGCTTTCGTTCACTCTGAGCACACGTAAATTCACATTTGAAAAATATTTTCCAGCTTCTCCTATTTCTTGGACGGCAGAGTCTTTCCTTTAACTGCTCAGGATTCGCTGCCTCCATCGCATCCAAACTCGACTTAGTAAGACTCCCGCTGCTTACTCGTGCCTTTAAGTATTCCTGTCCAGTCCACAGGTACCTTTTAATTTCAAAGCCCAGAAGATGAAAGGATTGAATCTTTCCTTGTTCCAAATCTGTATTTACCGACTTGCCTGTTTGAAGTCTAGAGACTACAGAATTACTGCCGGCTCCCCGGGAAGGAAACCTAGATGTGGAGAGGGGAAAAGGTGAGCTTCTTCAGACAAACCACTTCTTACAGTTCCCTCCTCTCAGAGCTGAATACTTGGCTTTGGAAAAGCTTTTTAATCCCACACTTGGGAACTGGTTCTCTTCTGGAAATATGTTGCTATTTATTTCCATTGCCTTCAGCTGCCTCTTCCCTCCCTCCCTCCCCTTCTGCTGCTGCGAAAGAGGCTGAGGAAAGTCAGAAGATAATGACTTTCAGACCACCCAAACACAGCAACGGAGGGAGATGAAGGCAGCTAAAAAAATTAACAGCACTGGAGCGCTTATTTGAGCATCCTGTTCCTTAACGCCCGGTCATCCCAGGTCATTTTTAACAGACTCGACACGTGCCAAGTAAACTGCGAAGCGCTCTCAACCCTTCTTCAGCACACTAACCGTGGTGTGCCTCTTGTTATCTTTCGGGAAACAGCTGAGAACCCAGCTCATAATAACAATATCAACTTTCCTCTTGATAAATATCTGGCTTAGTTCCTGACCTTCCCAGATTTCTCAGCTGAGTTTCTCTTCCTGCCCCGATTATTCATCCCTGCCGGGTTTGGCACTGCCAGCCCGCGAGCCCTACCCGTACCACAGGCAAAAGAATTCAGGCAGGTCCATCTCCTGCTCCTTCCCATCCTCCGCTGCACGGATCTCATGCTTACGCCTTTTTAAAAGGACTCGATTAATGACAAATGGTTTATTAACTGGAGGTCCTTTTCGTCTGCCAGATAATTACACGGAGTCACTTGAACGCAATTTTGCCTGGCGCATTTCAAAATACAAAGTCAGCCACTTTGCAAGAAACTGAGTTTGAGTGATGGATTTCCCACACACCCCTCAATCTCTGGAGCTATGAAATGATAATGTGATGAAAAGAAATAGCAAAACCTGTACCTGTTAGTGATACGCACCTTTCCAGAACTGAGAGTTACCCCTAAACTCACCTCCGCCTTCCCCCAAAGCAAGCAGCAATGACCTGCTTAATCTGAACCAGAAGAGCACACACCAAACTCCAGATATGACATCATGGTGCGAGCACGCCTGTGACAGAGAAGCATGAACTGCCTGCTGCTAGCGTGCTGAGGACTGCTGAGGTTATTGGGATACCACATTAGACATAGTAAATCTAATAAAAATACCAAAACCTAAAAACCCGGTTCAAAAAGGGGCAGAGGAAACTTAGGAACGGAGAGCAACCACGAGGAACTCTCTTCTTCTTACTCTGGTTAAAGGTGAAAAAAAACAAATCCAGGTTAGTTTGTACTTTACAGTGCAAAGAGCATAACGTGGAGAGAAGGGCACGCTGTCCTAAAACGCCTGCCAGCATGTGCCAGTAGAAGCAAGGAGGGGAAGGAAGACTGGTTTAAATTGTGTGTTGAACATCCCGAGCCTTCCTCCCTTGGTCAGCAGGAGGGATTTCAGAGCACCAAAAACGTATTTGCAGAAGAAAAAGAAAACATCCTCCCAGCGCATTGAACCTCGTCACACAGAATACTGAGGTCTCGTTGCACTGACCTCACTCCCGGGCCCGGGACAGCATTGACACGGTCATGGTTTCTCCTCAGAGGATGTTCATCTTTTTGTGCCTTTGTATTTTCACGGGTCCCGACCCACTCCATACTGCCCCACATGCGCTGAGCATCTACCAGCACGTGCTCAGAGGGCCTGAAGGCTCTCTGCCAACATCGCTCATGTCCTTCACAGAACGTGAAGATTCCTTTTGTGAAAGCTGCAGATGTACACACGATGTGTCTGCCACAGTGGAGTTTTCCTACACGAGGTCCGCACGCAGCCCATGCATTTTCTGCCCAGCAGACCTGCCCAGGCTGGTGCAGAAATGGCTTATCCTCCTCTGCCAGCGGTTTTGATATGAAAAGCAAGGCTACCTTGTCCTGCTGGAGACAGAGGGAAGATCTGCCTAGGGTACCACTGGTGACACTGCCCGTGGCCACAGCACAGGAGAGGAGAGGTCAGAAGGGCTCACAGACCCAGATGGGGACACAGCACTAATGAAAGGGGTCCGTTGGCCACCGCACAGCGTGTCCCCCCGCTCATCACCTGCCTGCCCTGACTTTACCAGAGGTGAGCTCAGGCAGGGCGTGCTTCAGCCCCGCTCCCATCCCGGGCACTCACGGTACTGGTTTAACCGATGGATTTCCTGACTAACAGCCACAGGTGGGCTTTCCCCTCGCTGCTCCCGGGGTTTCTCCAGCCAGAGCCTGTTTTGCCCTTTCTGCATGTGTGGCTGGCAGAGCGAGCTGCGGGGCTGATGCTGCAACCCAGAGCACATCGTCACGGTGCAGGAGACCTGCTCAGCATCTCGGTACCTGCCACCACTCATCCTCTCAGCAGCATTTAGGGATGAGGCTCGAGCAAGCTCCGAGGCTTGTGAAATTTTTCTTGGGCTTTTTAAGACTCACAACTCCCATTTTGCATAGGAAAACCTCTCCCTTACGCACACAGACCCAGATCGACCTTCCCCTGCCTCCCTGCATCCAAACACGCCGGGTATTTGAACAGATGCACTGAGGATCACTGCAGGACAAAAGCACCACCGGGAGTGGACTGTAGTAGATGAAAATCGAAAAAGACAAAATGTTTCACTTTATTTTATGCAATATACACAATACTGTACTTGACCAGCTACTAAACTGATGTGAAACTTAAAAAAGACAAAAAAAAGTGTTTTCCAAATGTTTTTTCTACATCCCCATTCCCTCGTTTCCCTGGGCCATTGCACTGTGTTCACCAAATTATTTATATAGATATGTTACTGTGAAAGCATAACAATATTTTACCAAAGATAACTCCATCTCTAGGTAGCAAAAGCACTCCTGAAAATGAACTCCAAATAAAATTAAAAATTAACAATTTTAAGGAGCCACATACTAGGCAATGGCTTTTCAAAACAATGGTTCAATCTGCCTCCAGGGACCGGTGCTTTACAGCCTACTCCCCATTTCTTTTTATTTTAAGTTCTTTACATATGAAAAAGCTTTGCTTGCAGCCATGCTCAGCTTCTCTAGCACCTTCCTTTTGTCCCTACTGATACAGAAAATAAGCATCGCTCCAACCAGAGATGCAACAGGGCAAAACGATTGTCTGGACGTACACATGATGTATCTACTACAGTGGAGTTTTCCTACACAAGGTCTATATGCAGCCTGTGCATTTTCTGTACAGCCTCCCGGAGGCACGTATCACTCTCCAGCTCAAACACAGCCCGAATTCTGCAAACGTTCAGCAGAAAAGACTGAGAAAACAATATTGGTTTCATGAATTGAGAACAAAAATCACAAGGCATTATATTATACTGGAGATCAGGAAACTGTGGTGTGAAAGCTTTAATTGTCTCCAGTGTCAGTAAATGCCAGCAATGTTCCACAGAGCACAACACAGCTTTGAAACTGAGGGGAAAATCAGCGGTACAAAAAATTGACTGTATTGATACCAAAGTTGTCGGTCCGATCTGTAATGCAGGGTCAGAATTTTGCTCAAGCTGAACATATAGTCACTACACATCAGAATATCCTTCTGCTGGAGAGATGATGGCTAAAGCTAAAAAAAAAAATTCTTTTTAAAGAAAGAAGTGCAGAAATGGTGCAACCTATACCAAAAGAACCAAGCCTCGGTGAAACAGCACTGACCTACTAAAAAGTGACTACCACTTCTGAAATAAAGGCTTAATTCACTCTAATTTTTACATATCACCCCCTACACGTGCCGAGTGGCTTGGAAGGAGCACGCAGCCTTAGCTTAGGAGGTTTAAGCCATCCCGTATTAGGGGTCGCACCTTGCAAAGATCATCCCCTGTTTATCCCCCAGCCCGTTTTTCCTTGCTGTGTCCCAGCCTGCGCTCATCCTTCCGACAAGACCCGACCCTCCACCGGGCCGTTCCGCCTGCAGAGCCCGTTTCATAACCCAGCCAAGGGTCTTTCTACGATTTTCAACTAATTAGCACCCGTCCTGCCGCTCCGAGTGCTCAAGTTACATGCGATTCAACTAAAATAACAACTAAAGAATAATAAAGCTGAAGGAAAAATACTAGTGGTTATATTGTTACTTCTCGACGGCCACTCCCATCCTCCAAAATAAAACAGAGGCAGTTTAACACGCTGTTTGGCTACGAGCATCCCCCTCTCTAGCGAATCTATTATTAATAATCAGAGCGCAACTGCTAAAAGGGGCCAAGGCAGGGAGCTGCCTGCTCTGCCGAGGCGGACACGCCGCATTCATTCGCTGCCACCAGATTTTAACAGCTTCTACATTCCTGGCTTTATTTCCCAGGGCATTGCTCGGTGACACCGCGCCCGGACGGCAGCGCACGCAAGGACTGCCCCAAACCCTGCTGCAGCCCCGCAGCCGGACTCGGGTCCTCATCCGTACCGGCTGCGGGAGTTCTGCAACTCAATTTTGACCTCGGCATCACTTCTCGGGGTGGGGGGAAGCGAAAGGAGATGTTTAGTTTTAAAGTTGGATGTGGGTTGGTTGGTTGGTTGGGTCCCGCCCCCCCCCCCCGTCCCGGACGGTTGGCAAACGAAGACAAACACTGCATTCTTGCTCTAGTTTCTCACTGAACTTGAATACCGAACTTGAATACCAGACTTGAGCCAAGGCCAGCCCTTTTCTTTGGCCCTCTCCTCGTGATGCCAACCCCCAACCGGGCCGGGATGCCTTTTCTCCTGCCCCGCTGCCCGCGCCCCATCCCTCCCCTCTCCCGAAGGGCTGTCCCCGGCGCAACCCGAAGGATGCGAATCCTCATCCAGAGGTCGGCGGGGCCGAACCCCGGCGCCTGCGAGCTCCCGGCTCCGCAGCAAC